CTGTGACCTAGGGGAGGTGGTCACAATCCCCCAAGATTTGACTACAGAATTGTTGTATTATGGGATTTGTGGGTTTCTTGTGGGAAACTACTCAACCCCTGAGAAACAAATGTTTGTAATCCACCTTCCTCCCTAACCCCTTCCTCACCTGTGACTTAAGTATATAACCTGTACTTTTACTTCAGCTTGGAGAGCGTTCCTCACACTAACAATGATTAATTAAACTACTTGATTACTGGCACTCCCATCTCTATGCCTACTTTGTGTGGCCAAGCATTCTCAGGTTAGAGACTGGCTCAATAAAAATCCTGTTAACAATACACATTCAGTTGTATATAGAAATCTATCTTACCCAAGAAAGAAATAGGAAGGGAAAGGGATAAGAGAAAACTAGGGGATGATGAAAGGGAAGGCAGATTAAGGAAGGCAGTGGTCAGAAGCAAAACAGACTTTTGAGGAGGGACAGGATAAGAGAGAGAGAAGAAGAAGAAACAGAAGAAAATCGGATAGAAGGAAATATATAGTAATCATAATTGTGAATGTGAATTGAATGAGCTCACCCATAAAACAAAACCCAAAAGCAGAATGGATTAGAAATTAGAATCCAAATATATGTTGTTTACAAAAAACACTTGAAACAGAAAGATACACACAGAGTTAAAATAAAGGGATGGAGAAGAATCTAATGTGTTTCAGCTGAACTAAAAAAGGCAGTGGTAGCAATCATGATCTCAGACAAAGCAAAAGCAAAAATAAACTTAATTAAAAGAGATAATCAGAGAAACCACAAAGGTACCATAGATGACGAAGTAATATCAATAAATTTAGCAGCAAGTTTCTCTAATAAAGGCCTCATTTCTCAAATATATACAGAAGCTAGTCAAAGTTATAAAAAATAAAAGCCATTCCCCAACTAACAAATGGTCAAAGGATATGAACAGGCAGTTTTCAGAAGAAGAAAGCAAAGCTATCTATAATTATATGACAATATGATCTAAGTTAATACCGATTAGACAAATGAAAATTAAAACAACTCTGAGGGCCCACCTCAGACCAATCAGAAGTAATAAATGCTGGGAGGTGGGGGGTAGGCAGAGAGGAGAATGGGGAAAATCGAGATACTAATGTATTGTTGGTACAGTTTTGAACTGGTCCAACTATTCTGGAGAAGAATTTAGAACTATGTCCAAAGGGCAATAAAACTTTGCAGAATTTTTGAGCAATGCTGTTACTAGATCTGTACCCCAAAGAAAACAAAGAAAAAGGAAAAAGATCTGTATTGTACAAAAATATTTATATTAGCTCTTCTTGAGGTGGCAAAAACTGGACATCAAGGGGTTGCTTATCAATGGGGGCATATGATTGTGATGAAGTACTATTATGCTATAAGAAATTACCAGGAGTTGGGGGGAGAGGGTTTCAAAAAAGATGGCAAGACTTAAATAAACCGATACAAAGTGAAGAGAGATGAACTAGGAGACCACTGTGCTTGGTAATAGCAATGTTGTAATGATGATCAACTGTGAAAGACTTGCCTGCTCTGATCAATTCAATGATTCAAGACAATTCCAAATGACTCATGATGAAAAAGAAGCCATCCAACTCCAGATAGAGAAATGATGAACTCTAATTGCAAATTGAAGTATAATTTTCTTATTTTATTTTTCTTGGTTTTTTTAAACAATATGGCTAATATGGAAATATGCTTTGTATGATTTCACATGTATAATTGCTATCCTATTACTTGCCTTCTCAGTGGGTAAAGAAGGTGTAGGAAGGAGAGGAAAATATATGATTGAAAAACAAAATAAAGACTTAAGAAATCTAATCAATTCAATGACCAATGATCACTTTGGAGGACCTATGATGAAACATAATCCACCTTTTGACAGAGAGATAATGAACCAAAGCTGCAGAAAAAGGTATACATTTTTAAACCTGACCGCAGCGTGGATTCATTTTTGACTGTGCTTTTTAAAAATTATTATTACAACGAGTTTCTTTCCTCACTTATTTTAATGGGGGGAAGGAAGAAAGCAGAAAGAAGTTCAGAAAGAACCAGAGGCGAGCAGGACAGTTTTGGAAGTAAGGTGTGGGATTTATGCATTTAAGAAACCTAATGAAATAGAGATTAATGGTTTCATCTAAAATCATTTTTTGCGCTTGTTCTGCTGTATGTATCCCCAAAAAATTGTGTGTTTAAGTTCAAAATTTTTTAAAATAGAGTAAAATCAACTGGCCAGGATGATTGAACAGAGGCCAAGCAAGACAACAGGGCAAGAAGCAAAAGACAGGTACTGAGGGAGACACAATGATGGCTAGGGAGCATTTATGACCCTATTATTGTCAGAATTAGATTTGTTACAGTCAGGAGTTACCCAGGGTGGTAGCCAGGGGTGTTGTGCTTGGTAATAGCAAATGAGATAATGGATATAAAGCACTTTGCAAACCTTAAAACACTCGAGAAATGCTAGTTGTTGTTGTTGTTGTTAAAATTGTTCAGTGTTTTTAATGACCCCCAAATTTTCCCTGAAACAAAGGCCAATCATTTTAATACATATTCTTCTGGCAGGTAGGTGGCACAGTGGAAAGAACACTGAGCCTAATTACCCTGGGAAAGTCACTTAACATCTGTCTGCCTCAGTTTCTTCAACTGGAGATGGCAATAGAATCTATTTCACAGGGTTGCTGTGAGGATCAGGGGAGATAATGTGTGTAAAGTTCTTAGCACAGTGCCTAGCACATAGCAGATATTTAATAAATGAATGTTCTCTTCCCTTCTCCTTCTGGTGATTCTACTTATCTGTGAATCATGGAATGGAGAATTAAAGTTAGAGGCCACTCAAAACGTAGGGAAAAGACACATAATTGGTATGAATAATCTGTAGTATATTGCTAATGAAGAATTGTGTACCACAGGCAAGTCAGAGACATAAAAAAGATGTAGGACCAGAAGAGAAGATGTGTTGTCTCCAGTGCAGTGATTCCTTCATTTCCTGAGCCTTCTACTGCACTCTTGCTGAGCACAAACATTTATAGACTATTAGAACAATACAGAGGTAAGATGGTAAATGTTTAACAACCCATTTCAACTTGGGGGGGGGGTGGGAGAGGAAGAAAAGAGGGAAGTAGAAAGAAAATTTATGCACACAAGCCTATTAGATTTGGCTCCAGTACACTTTTGGTGCTAGCTATGCCCAGGTTGCAGTGAATGGAGTGCTGAGTCTAAAGTCAGGAAAATCTGAGTCAAATGCAGCCCCATGTCAAGTCACTTAACCTCTGTTTGCCTCAGTTTTCTCAACAGTAAAATCAGGGTAATTATAGTGACTACCTCCCAGGGTTGTTACGAAGATCAAATGAAATAACATTTGTAATATGACTAATATAGTGCTTTGCATATAATAGGCGCTGAATAATGTTTGTTTCCTTCTCTCCTTCCCTCCCATTTCAGCGCTGGAAGTTTTGGAGCAGACCATAGAACAAAATTCCAGATCTAGCAGAGGAGTTCCTGAGACCCTAAAGTTAGCTTTCTGCCTTTCTATTTATTCATGTAGAGGTCACCATGAGAATTACTGGAAGGTTCCACAGTACTTTGCAAATTTGGTATAGACAACTGGTTGTGAGTCAACACTGCAGCTCCAGTTTCACTGGGAGACAGGAAGACTATCATAGGATACTGAAGTCTGGGTTCTTTTTCTCTTATAATATCATACTATAGCTGAGAAATGGACTCCAGTTGAAAATGTGTTTCTGCCTTGGGAGGAGCTATATTCAGGGACTGAATGAAAGGTGTAGTGCACTTGATGCTTTTTCACTCACTATACACTTACGAATCTAATAAAACTGTTTAAGATTAAAAAAAAATGTTCCAAGTACTGGGAACTTTGAATTTCTTTCTTTTTCTTTTCTATAAAAAAGAAAGAATAAGAAGCACTCTTTGATTTTTGGTATAACTTATTAGTAGATGTATATACTACTCTAGGGAGGTTGATCACAATCTACTGATGCTTTCTCATTCTGTGAATCTTGATCATGTGTTCCCATAGATTCTCCACAGGGAGTTCTTTAAACATGCTAGGAAGCTTCCTCAAGAATGCTGAGATTACTGGACATTGCTTAGGTATCAGTGAAACATGTAAATGGTCTATTCCTCATTCTCTCTACATGACCAACATATCTTCTCTCCTGGTCCTACATCTTTTTTATGTCTCTGACTTGCCTGTGGTGCACAGTTCTTCATTAGCAATATACTACAGATTATTCACACCAATTATGTGTCTTTTCCCTACATTTTGAGTGGCCTCTAACTTTAATTCTCCATTCCATGATTCACAGATAAGTAGCATCACCAGAAGGAGAAGGGAAGAGAACATTCATTTATTAAATATCTGCTATGTGCTAGGCACTGTGCTAAGAACTTTACACACATTATCTCCCCTGATCCTCACAGCAACCCTGTGAAATAGATTCTATTGCCATCTCCAGTTGAAGAAACTGAGGCAGACAGATGTTAAGTGACTTTCCCAGGGTAATTAGGCCCAGTGTTCTTTCCACTGTGCCACCTACCTGCCAGAAGAATATGTATTAAAATGATTGGCCTTTGTTTCAGGGAAAATTTGGGGGTCATTAAAAACACTGAACAATTTGAAAATTTCCAGTCTATTCTCAACCAACAAATTCTTCTTCTTCTTCTTCTTCTTCTTCTTCTTCTTCTTCTTCTTCTTCTTCTTCTTCTTCTTCTTCTTCTTCTTCTTCTTCTTCTTCTTCTTCTTCTTCTTCTTCTTCTTCTTCTCCTTCTCCTGCTTCTTCTGCTTCAACACTTACCTAGTATAATTCAAACAAGTCTACTGATTTCTATCTTTTGTGAGACCAAGTTCTTTTCTTTCTTTTTTAATATTAAGCATAGTCTCTAGCAAACCCCTGACACATAGATTCCCAGAAAGTTACCCCAAATTTGAGGTAGTTTCTGGGGCAGTATCCACTGAAAATCGAAACCAAAAAATTTCCTCACAAATGTTTATTTTTACTAAGCCAACCAGAGAACATATTAGTTCAAAAGAAATTTAATTGCACAGCACAACAAAATAAGTGTTAAGAAAGTTTTTTTTTTCTCATGGACAGTGGGTACAGTACATTCTCCAACAAGTTATCACACCACCAGTGGGGGAGAGGAAACAAGAGAACACATATGGCCAGAGAACACTCATGAAGGGGTATGCGTGGGCAACGTGTTCTTCCCCAGCAGGACTCCAATGAAGCAGACATCCTTCTGTCTTTTGGTGATATTATCAGACCAACTGCTTTCTCCACAAAATGGGGGTCCTTGGCTTCTCTGTTATTTCTGCTCCAATACAACTGTTATGACCCTCTTCTTCATGGAGGATGGAGACATAGTCTGTTAGTTGCAGTCCTGGGGCTCTCTACTTAGCCAGTTGAAAGTAGACTCTATTTAGTCTCACTCAGCCAATAAGCTAGTGTTAAGAACTCCATGGTTTAAGAAGGAAGGAAAGGGTCTTGAGTAGAAAAAGTTTAAGCAACCTTGAGCTAGATAAGCCTTCTTTTAAGTTCATTCTTTCAATTCCCTTTCTCCAGCTGCAGTACAGAAAAGGCTCTCATTCTAAATCCTTATCTGGGTCATGATCCAAAATTCCTTTTAACTATGGTGTCTCTGAGTCAGGAGTTGAGGTCCCTTTCAAATCATACCAGAGATGCCACTTAGCAAAAAAGGAACTGGGTGGAGCCAGAATGAGGAGGTTCTTTCCTAGCCCTGGTGATAGACAGTAATTACAATGCAAATTGACTTCCGAGCAAGGTGAAAAAGGGCAGGGTGGAATTGTAGAGCTGGTGCCCTTTGCCCTCTTTCCAACCAGGAACAAAATTGGTGTATTTCCTATACCAGTGCTTTTAACAAGGCTCCCGTTTTGAAAAACTGCTCACCAGTTTGAGAAATGGAGGATGTTCATGGAAAACATATTGAACTTGGATCAAAAGATTCAGAACACCTGGGTTTGGATCCTAGCTCTGCCAACTTATTGTCTAGGTGACCTTGGGCCAACCCCTTTTCTTCTCTGGGGCTCAGATTCCTGATCTGTAAAACAAGAGAATTGGAATAGATTAGCTCAAAAAGTCATTTCAATTCTAACATTCTGTGAGTTGCATTAAGAAACAAATCCTGTGTTTTGCACCTTGTCTATTTCCTTCCTGGACCTCTCTACCCAACTCAGGGCACACATTTGAAAAATGTGAAAGTCGTTAGTGTCACTTTAAAAACTTGAAGTCAGTTCTAGTTTAGCATGGCTAGGGGAAGGGGAAACTGCCTTTGTGGATTGTGGTTGCAGTTTTTCTGACACATCTTCTATTTTTATCCTCTTGCAAACTGACAGCCTGTGACAGTTGTTCTTCCATTTCTAGAACAAGTTGCCAAATCATGGGGGAAGCTAATGATGCTAATATAATAAATACTGGTTTTCTTTTTTAAGCTTAGAGGAAATAATTTTATTCCCTCCCTAAAGTGGAACTTCTAGTTAGGGAAGTTTAGTCCTTACATGGCATCCAAATCTAGTATCTTATCAATGCTTTTTTTTTAAAAGAATTTTAAAATTAAATTTGTGCCATTTAGTTTATATCACAAAAGGTGAAACCTTATTCAATAGACATGTAATACTTGTGAAAAAAAAAAAAGACCAAATCCTGCCACCTAGATAAAATCAGGGCCCAGGCTGTTTGCATTTATATCAGCTTGTAAACTAGTAAAACTAAAAGTATAATTTCTCTTACACAGAAGAATTTGCATGTAAAACAGTTATTACCAATAGAATATAATATGCTCTGATAGCAAAGACATACGCTGGAAAGTTTTGCTGGATTTACAGCAAATGATTGATGAACTATTTTTTTTCTCCTTAGCTGTTCCATACTATCAGTCCATAGACTCATACTAGCACAAAGACAAACTAAGCCTTTGGACCTTTTCCACACAATGCATTAAAATAAGTATTTAATGATTCAATCTACCCTGAACTGGAAAAGGCACTTCTTCTGACAAGAAGCAGTCAGTATGTAATTACAGTAGCTTTTTTATTATTTCTGTATCTATTCCATCCATACTGCTTATGAGCTTGAGCTACTCCTATCAGAAAATTTATATTACAAGCTAAAAATTATTTAATCCATTAATTATAATGGCCTCATTACAGAGCCTAATCTTCACCATAGCATGAAGAAAGAACACTGATTTTTGGTTAAGCATAGGTATGTCTTACTTGATATAATAGATGTGTTCTAGAGAAACTGTGTATGATTTATGTAGAATTCATATAAATCAAAACACATTTCTAATTCACCAAGAGCAACCTAGGAAGATTACCTAATAATTTTTTAAAGTTGAGTAATTTTAAAATATAAAACACTCATCCCTTAGATAAGTATATATTTTTTAAGTTTAGATTTCCTCATGTTGATTTTTTTTCAAAGCAGGCCATCCTTATACAGAACTCTAAATCTCTTGTTGCTGTTGTCTGCATTTAAATAGCCAGCTTTTTTGATACATCTTTAGTATTATGGAATGATAGAACTAGAGGGAATTTTAAGGTCATCTACTCAAAGGTCCTCATTTTAATCTTTACTTCTTTCATTAGTTTAATAATTTTCCATACAAATTTTCTTAAGCCCTTTATTTAAATTCTATGTACATTTTGAGAAGGATGAGAAGAGAGTAAATCATTAGAATGATTAAACAACTTAAAATAGGGTTTATGTGAGCAGGATGCTTTCAGAAAAACCTGGAAAGACTTACATGTACTGATACAAAGTCAAGTGAGCAGAACCAGGAGAACTTCATACATAATAATAGCAACATTGACCATGATCAACTGTCAATGACGTAGCTATCCTCAGCAATATTATGATCTAAGAAATTCTGAAGAACTTAGGAAGAAAAATGCTATCCACCTTCAGAGAAAGAACTGATGGAGTCTGAATGCAGATTGAAGTATACTTTTAAAAACTTTCTTTGTTTTTCTTCTTTGTTTTTGGTTTGTTTTCTTTCACAACGTAGTTAATATGGAAATATATTTTGCATAACTGCACATATGTAATCTATATCAAATTGTTTGCCTTCTCAAAGAGGAGAGAGGGGAGGATAGGAAGGAGAGAATTTAGAACTCAAAAATTAAAAAAAATGTTAAAGATTGTTTTAACATGTAATTGGAAAAAAGTAAAATATAAAAATTTTCATGTTAAAAAAAAGAAAATGGGGTCTATGAAGAAAAGTTAAGAAGCATTGAACTTGTGTGTAACAGAGGACTGGCCATGGAGCCCAGTCCCTATGAGCATAAGCAAGTGCTGCTGGTCCAATTACCTCCTAGAGTAGCCCGGACAACCTGCTTCTGGGGCAGTCATGCCTATGTGTAATGGAGAGATTTGGGCCATCCTCAGGTGTTTTGTAACTAAATCTGGTTTGCCGACCTTTGGTAAATAAGAACTTCTCTGGTTCTACTTGTGTAGTCAGAACAGAGATTACATTCAAAATGCAACAAAGCCTCAGCAGCTCCTCTTTTGTGACATCTTCCTGGCTCACAGGATCTGGTGAGAGAAAAGAGAGACAACGTTATGAGAAGAGAGGCCTTTGACCCTCCCCATCTGAGGTCAACATGGGGCCCGTGAACACAGGCCTTGAGTTCTTTTGGTTTTCAGGGGTTTTTTGCTTTTGTTTGTTTGTTTTGTCTTGACATGTTTTCTTTAGCTCTAACTAAAGAAGGAAGAGATGACTATGATTTTATGAACTTTGGAAGGTCTTAAGGGAAGCCATGAGCAGATCCAGGGATGGAATCTATGCCAGGAATTTGCAGTATGTCTGGCTCCTGTGCCCTGAAGAATAAGGAGCAACTTTCTGGACCCAGCCCAAAAGTAGTTGAGACAAAGACTTACCTAACATGTTGAATTTGGATGTGAACTTAGTGGGACCAATGTAGAAACTAAACTAAGTCTGAATCCACTTTCTATAAAGAATGAGAACTGGGTCCCCAAATGTGTGTGTATGTGCATTTGTGTGTGTGAAGGAACACTGTACTTCTGTTCTTGCTGTATCTTTGAAGTCAATGATCCTTTGTAAAAGCTAATTGGTGTTAATTGGCTAAATGGCACTGGAGTGGTAATCACTGGCACCTAACAGGGTAGAAAGGTAGGGTGGGGACACAAACCCAGAATGGGGACTCAAGATGATAGAAGTAGAGAAGAAAAAAGCCAACCTCTCTGAAGTATCCCTAGAATTCTCAAGGGTAGATGTAGCCAGTCTTCCTCTGAAAGAGAGGGACAGAAAATACTTTCTAAGATGCGAATGTAAAAGGTAAGTGTGGAGGACACCTCCAACTAGATGTTCTATTGACACCTCAACTTGAATGCAAAATAGAGTTCATCTTTCCCCCTAAACCTGCCCCTCTAAATTTCCCTGTTTCTCTTGAGAGTACCACCATCCATCCTCCCAGGCTTCAAAGTTCAAAACCTAAGAGTCATCTTAACTCTTCTCTCTTCCTCATCTCCCATATTCCTTTCCAGAGTTGCAGGTAAACAATTAATAATTGCAATTTAGGGGAAAGCTTGCTATTCCTATCAATATTTAAGCAAAGGGTGAGACTTCTAACAAAATATTTGTCTTAACTCTACTTCCTATTTGCACTGTTTTAAATAACTATGATCATTATCAATGAATCAAATGATTATCAATGAATGAATGAGGAAGCATTTAAGTGCATATATGTGCCAGGCACTCTGCTAAGTGCTGGGGATAACAAATTCTAAAAGTGAAACTGTATCTACCTTGACAAAGCAACATAGATAAGGGAATGACATCCGAGGATGGGAGCTTTGATCTGGGAAGCCACAAGGATGGTAAGCTGATCCATAATTCTGTCAATTTATACGCCTTTCCCAAAGGAATGATAATTTTTATTTGATTACTGTGGAGAATGTAGGGATGGGGGTGGCAGGGGCGAGGAGATCTGAGAGGATGGCTAGATGGAACAGGATGTAAAGAATAGGTAAATCTGTACTTTCTCAGTCACTAATCCAGATGGCCCAGCCCCAGGGTGGGAGTTCCAAAGCCAAATAGATTAGTTTTTCTAGGAAAGGGAAATTGATTTTGGAAGTCTCATGCTCAGGTACTGGTACAGGGAGGAAGAGGCAGGGTAGCATCAGCAGCTGCAAAAATAGTAAGATGAGGGGTGGGTGGGGAGAAGAGAAGACAACTTAAATGTCTATGTGCTCTTCCCAATACGTTCAGGTTTCATACCCAACTTCAGAATTGCCATTCTTAGAAACATTCACTTTATATTTTTTAGTATTTTCTGATAGTCACAATGGTTTTTTTTATATTCAGGAGTTTGGGGTTGAATTTAATTTAGTACCTATAAGAGACTCATGTTTGAGAAATTACATAGTCATCTTTCTGTTATTAATGTTTGAGAATAGTGCCATACTTAGTGATAGTCTTGTATATTACCTGTATTTTGGTAAGATCTTGTATATCACTAAAAATTGATTCATGCTTACATAATTCCATATACTTCCGCTGTTCCATTCTTAGTGTCAGATTCAAATACTCATAAGTTGTCCAGATAGTCAAAAGATTTTAAAAGCAGTTTGTTAACTAGTTAAAAGAGACTGCTTAAATGTTAGCAATACTTCAAATAGTTCATTTTCTAAAAATTAATTATGTAGTCAGTATTGGGAGTACTTGAATAACAATATCCACCAATAAGAAGAGTCATGCAAATGACTTTTTGAACCAAGGGTTACATAAATTAAAATGTAACATAAGCCTTGCTCTCAAGGAATTTACAAGGCTTACAACTTTTCTGACCAGTGGTCAGTCCATTACAAGAGATCCGAACTCACATGAATTGAGTGAAGTTTTTGGGGGAGTTCTCCAAAATTTTTCTTATGTCTCATGCCTCCTGAGTCATGGTCTTATCCAGAAACACCAAAATTCTGCACAGAAAAGGAAATGGACCTCCACCTCCCTTGGTAGTACTCAAGTTAATAAAACACTGAACCTGAGAGAGAAAAAGTAAAGGATTTACACTAAGCCTCACAATGAATCAAGTTACTTCTCTCTCCTCTCTGGTCAGAGTTTCTGCCTTCCACAGACTTCTACAGTACTCTATAACAACACAGTTATCCCTTCCACATCAAAACTTTCCTCATTGAGGTTTCAATACATTGAGGGTTGGCATAAGAAATTAAATGGGAATTTTGGGGGAGTTTTGCCGAAGCTGCAGATGACATGTGAAGGTCAGCAAACAACATAGACAAAGTTTAGAAATTCAGAAATGCATAAAATACATGTATAGTATTATTAACCCAAATTTTACAATAAGATATTATGAACAGCCCAAAAAGAAAAAGTTTAGACTTTTTCTCTGGTACGAAGTGAGGGCAGAACAATTTTACATGGATTTTCCAGATCTTAGGGACACCATGCCCCTAACCCTCTCAGTGTGGAAGGGATGACTGTACTGCCCTGCTTCCCGCTCACTCCAACCCTGCCCCCTTCCAATGACCACAAAGGGAAAGAGCTCTAGTTTGCTAGGCAATACTTCCTTGTGGTAAACCCCACCTTCCTCAGGGGCCTCCTATATAATTCTCCAGACTTACTATACTGCCTTGGGGTTGAGGCCCCTCAAATGAGGGAAGAACTTAGGATCACTAAAAAACTGACCCTCTCTTTCATATATTTACAATCTATGTAACCAAGGACAGGTAAGATCCAATCATTGCTCCAAGTGTCTGTTCTAAAGTTCCAGCTGGAATAGAGCTTGAACAAAGCCTTTGGTTAGGTTAGTTTAGACACCAGTGGGTGCCAAACTCAAATAGAAAATGAGACCACTAAACTGTTCATAAGGATCCTAATGGACCACATATTGACTTAGTTTTAAAATGTAATATTGTCTCTGTTTTATTACATTTTTATTTATGTTGTTAAATATTTCCCAATAACATTTTAATCTGGTTCAGGTAGCACTCCAGAATGTTGCAGGCCACATGTTTGACACCTCAGATCTAGAACAATGGTTCTCAAAGTTTGGTCCACAGACTCCTGGGTGTCCCTGAGAACCTTTTAGGAGATGCACAGGGGCAAATAACTAAGACATTATTTGCCTATTAAAATACTCCTCACTTTTCCAACTAAATATCTGTATAGGGCCAGATTTTTTTCATATACTTCAACCAAAACAACATAGCACAACAGAATACGGCAACAGATAGAGAATCCAGCTGTCTTCTATTAAGCCAGTAATTAAAAAGATTTGCAAAAATATGTAAAATAGTGCCACTTTTCTTACTAAATTTTTTTTTTGTTTTGGAAAATATAGTTGGAGTCCTCAATAATTGTTAACAGTGTAAAGAGGTCCTTAATAATTTTTAAATGTGTAAAGAGGTTCTGGGACCAAAACGTTTGAGAATCAAAGGTCTAGAAACACCTCTTCTTGGTTGAGGAACTCTACAGCTTGGTCTGGTAGGTCCTACCTTGTTCTACCACAGCTGCTCTGTTACTACCAGCACAATTTCCTAAAGTCCCTGGGTTACCTCAGAAACTCCTTACCACTTTGACACTGCCTCCTTCCATTGCCCAAGAGCCATGTGGAGGGAATACATGGTTGCTCAGTTAACTTTCCAGGGAACCAAGGCAAATTCTTTCTCTTCTCTATTTGACCTCTCTAACCTCTGTAGTACATATGCAGCCCCCTTTTAAAGACCAGTATGAGAGTGTTGCTCAAATATAACTAGATGTGAATTTCAATATCAAAGCACTGTCAACAGGCCAACAAATATACAATACACATCGGAGTATACAACTTTTCAAGATTTCAGCTTGTCCAGAAATTCCATATCTGTTCAAGAGACAATAAAATGGAGTAAGGGCTTAACTAATTCTTTTTGGGAAATTCTGAACATACCTAATATATTATAGTAGTGGAACACTCCCAGAAAGGCCCAGACCTTTGCTTCTTACTAATTACAACCACAATAATGGTGAAAATGATAAATATATGGTGCTTTAAGGTTTGCAAAGCCTTTTTCACATAAGAGGATAATAATTTTCATAAATTAGGGCTAATAACAGTAACTACCTCACAGAGTTATTTGGGAGGATCAAATAAAATTATACAGGGTGTCCCTAAGGTCTTGTCCTCATTTTATAGCTAAGGAAACTGAGGATTTGAGGTTAAGTATGTTGGCCAGGATCATATAGATAAGAGTTAGGAGCAGGCTTTGAATTCTGTTTTCCTGATTCCAAATCCTAAGCTCTAAATTTTATATTGAAATGTAGAGTTCTGCCTTTCTTTCTCCTAATATATACCTATTAGGATATTATTTATGCACCCTAAGTGAATATAAATTAGGAAGACAGCATATAGGCCTATATATATATATAGCTAAAAATGTTTATGTTGTTGAAGCATTGTATGGTAGTGGTAAGAATTTTTGGTGGTGGTGGTGGTGGCGGCCGTTCAGTCACTTCAATTGTATCTGACTCTTTGTGACCACCCTTGGGGTTTTCTTAGCAATGGTTTGCCATTCCTTCTTCAACTCATTTTACAGATGAGAAAACTGAGGCAAACAAGGTTAAGTGACTTGCCCAAGGTCACACCACTAGTATGTGTCTGAGGCAGAATTTGAACTCAGGTCTCCTAACTCTAGATCCAGTGCTTTATCCATTGTACCACCTACCTGATCTATGGTAAGAATACTCACTGCTTTTGGAATCAAAAGATCCCAACTTGAATGCCACATCTGTCGACCTGTGTGTCCTTGGGCAAGTTGCATAACCATTTGCAGCCTCAGTTTTCTCATCTTTATCAGAAACTTAGACCAAATGATTTTTTTAAGGTCTCTTTCAGCTCCAAATTCTGTGTCTAGGACCCTTATGTCTGTGTCTGACCTTCTTAATGGGTACTAGATTTAAATCTGGAATGACCCCCTCAGTAGTCATATAACTAACCTTCTGGTCCACTTGCTACACAGACCAGAAATATCCATCACACTTCTCTTGTTTAACCAGATTCCAAGTTTTGACTACGGTCTACCTAGTTTTATTGTCACCTGAGGCTAAGACAGAGCTGTTGACAACCCCTACACAAATTATCAGGCAAAGAGCAAAAAAGCTCCATGTTGCAACTACATAGGAAGTTGTGGAGATACTGTGTGGCACAGGCCCACTGATGTCCTAGGGGGATGTAAAATTGCCTCATCTATACATTACTTCAAAGAACACATTAGAGGTACTTGCAACCATTTTAATTTTTAAAAAATAGTGGGCCTTATTTAGTAATTCATTTAGGGCTTTGTCTATGTTCCGTGTACCTCCCCCGTCAGTAGAAAAGCCACGGGGAATAGAACAGAGGGAATAGAAAATTATGCCTACGCTCACTGTGCCCAAAATAGTTCTGACTAGATTTACCAGTGAACATGAAAGATCTAATCATTTGTTCAGGGTAAGTCTCAAATGGAAGCTAACACATTTCAGCCAGTTTTTGTTTGCTGACCTTGGCCAGTCTATGAGGGACCCACTCTCTTGCCAGACAGTTTTGGTCTTTCTCACCAAGCAGGAACTGTCATGGTTTATTTTATGGTGAGATCCAGAGGAGTTGTAAAATACCTAAATTGACTAGGCAGAGCTTGTACTATTTGAGAGAGATGTCAAAAAACAGTCTTCACTTTATGTAATGGCTAAAGGTTTATGATGAGTGTCAGGACGTGCTACTCCACATATAGTATGTATAGTTAATACTTGGTACTCATATACAGTTTTGATGCAAATACTATCTTTACTTTACTGAAGCAAATCTCAATTAGAAGTAATAGGCAAAATTGACCTTGGCCTTAGGCAGAGTAATCAATCATCTGCATTCACACAAGTAATGGGAATTGAGAGATGCATAGGAGGTTCCTACATATAAAAATAGATCCCTACTAAGGGCCAGCCATAGACAAAATAATGTCATAGGCAAAGTTTATGTATTATCATCTTTAAGTATTATTGACTGCATCTATTATTTTATGTCTCAAGCATCCTCTTTCTTTTTTTGTTCTCTTACTCTCCTGCCCAATATACTTTTTACTCTTTTCTTCTATTACAATTTATCCAGTAAATAATTGCTATGGCTTAATATGTTCTTTGTCCCGGCAATGTTTATATTTTAATAGAGGACAAAGGACTGACTCTTTGCTCATGGAACTCCAGTCATGAATTAGTGTGAATTAGGGAAAAGACAAACCATATAGAAATATGGAGTATGGAGTACCACTATACCAGGCAGGCATAGTACCAACTCCATAAATACCAGTATGGTAGTCTGTAACATTTATCCTGGAGTCCTGCATACCTTGCATGCTGTTTACATCTTAAGTTTTGATCTTCCCCTAACACTCTATTTCCTAGGAATTTCTTTCTCTGAGGTCCTGTAGTCTAATCAAACAACGAGCATTTTAAGTTTACCACACGGCAGTCTCAGTGTTAAGTGTCCAGATACAAAAACAATCATGAGATAGGTCCTGCCCTCAAGGAACTTATACAAGGTAGAGGTAAGGGAGATAAGAAAAGATTAGTCCCAGTTTCTTCTGGCCTCTGCTTCCCCTCCTCCCCATACCTTGTATAAGAGCTCCCAGGAGATAAATCATAAAAGTACTAGTAACACTTTTCCCTCCTTTGGGGTACAAATACCTCTTCCCAGAGTGAAGCTGCTCCCCAGAATGGCTCTGCTCAACGTTGAGACAATTTCCTGCTTATTGTCACACAGCTTTGTCTGGTGAAGCTGAAAGCACCTTGCAGAGTAGAGGGAGCTAAGGCTATGGTCATCTGTGCTGCCATTTCAGGGCTAGAGAAAATGAACCACTGGTTTCCACTTGATTCTTTGTGTCCTTTAGTAAACAACTCTAGCTTTTTAGATCTCTCTATGGTCATTTCCAGCACCTTGTAATTTGAACCCAAGCACTGATCATCAGCTGTTCTGTCAGAGCAGCTATTTTCTGACTAAAGGTTGACTCTCTA